AGCCTTTCATATTTGGAAGATTGTTGGCTCCAATTGTGTGGCAAGTGTATTTTTAATGGTTTGAGATAGCGCCAACATAGGATAGTTTGAGTAAATTACATCTAATTTCTTGGTGTTTTGGGAGTACCTTGTCTGGTATTTCATATGGTTAAATAACCCTGAGGTTAGGAGCAATAAAAGCATAACATGAATATATTGAATATATGGGTATTGAGAAGTTGGATATTCACTATTTATGTTTTTTTTAATAGTTGGACACTCACTATGGTCCAATGTTTTTTTTCAGGAAGCTGGAGGATAGTGAGGCTGCTGAACAATATTGTGCAGAGATTGGTAGACCAGATGTCTATATGCAGTTACTCACCCCTCTCTCCGCAACCCTCTCTCAACAACTATGTGTAAATTTAATCTTTATTTTCTTTCTTTATCTCTACTGTTGAGGTTTTACTTCCTCAGGTTGCTTGAAATGTACTTGGATCCGAAGGATGGCAAGGAGCCCATGTTTAAAGCTGCAGTTCGCCTTCTTCACAATCATGGAGAATCCCTGGATCCTTTGCAAGTTCTTGAGGTATCAGACTCTTTTGTCCACCCCCATCCCCGCCCCCACCTCCAAACCACAAATATCAGGAACTCCCTCCCTTTCTCTCGTGTGCATCTTTATACATACGTTTGGTTTTTGATAGTTGCTCCCTGAGTTTTAACTTTATTTTAAACAACTCTGCTGATAGTTTGGAAACTGTGACCACAGTTGATCATAGAGATGTGAGGATAAGGAAGCTAAAGCTAAACAAATGTTTGTCTTTTAAGTTTCTCCTTTGATTGACAAAATGAATTTGGAACTGTGTTCACATCGCATTAGTAGTCAACTCTCAAACTCACTGCTTACCCAAAGTTCGATTTTGAGTTTGAAGCCAATAATGAGAAGTGTTTAGGAGGTTTCTTCATTTTAATGTCATGTTTGCCTCTTCCCCTCCTTTCAGATGACATTTCATTATTTGTCAATTTTGCTCAAAATCTAGCTCAATTAACTGCTGTAGAGGTCAGAACAGAAGGTATATCAACCTACAACTAAGAGGCTGTTGGGATTTCATATTTCTTCTTGTAAAGGATTCATAGTTTTCAATGCGTATGAGTCACAATGAAACTCTAAAGCTCATTATGTTCACAGGCAAGTAATTACTGTATTATTCATGTCAGACACCCACACACTTATGGGTAACAACGACCTCCTTTCTTTTTTCTGGTCCTGCAATGCTATAAAAGGGAAAACTTAAGAGAATATTTGTTTTTGGTATTTTGAGTGTACTATTCTGGTTGTTTAACATGAAGGCTGTTACGCATGGTTTTGGGTTCTACACTATATTTGCTATTAAATTGACGTTTTTATTTCCAGAGATTGTCCCCAGATATGCCCCTCCAACTTGCTTCAGATACAATACTAAGGATGTTGAGAGCTCGTCTCCATCATCATCGTCAAGGACAAGTACGTTCTCTTGATTTAAACCTTTTTTCCATCATTTTAATTCAAGAGGTAATTCATGCAAGCATTTGCATATTATAATGAATTTACAGTTTTAATTCCTGTTAACTTTCAAGCCTTTCTCATTCTTCAAGCCCTACTAGTGGCAACTTCAATTATTTGAGTTAGCAACCTAAGCCCTGCGGCCTTGGCCACCTCTTAGGAGCATTTTTGGCCGTTGCAGCATAAAATTAAAAACTTGGTTCAGTGATTTAAAGCATGCGCTTTTCAGCCTTCAAGACCCTCTTTTATCACCCACGCCAATGCTCACGCCCAGTCAAATCTTCTTAGGGGTAATGGCTGCTCAAGTTTAGGTGGCATTACATTTACAATGTAGAAATTTGTCAGTGACACCTTTCCTCATTCAATTTGTATTTGATCTTAGTTTTGTAGATTCTTCTTTAGCTATATGGTTGTCAATAGTTGACAAACATAATATTCTACGTACAAGTATGTTATATAGCCATGTTTAGTGCTTCTTACTATATATGGATATAGTGTTGTAAAAGTCACGCCTACGCCTAGCTTAAGGCGACTCCCGACACACCCTTTTTGCCTCAATTGATCGCAGGCGAAGCGACTTTGCTAACGCGAGGTTCATGCATGCTTTGGGGGATTAATCTCAAGGTGTTGAAGCGCTGGTTTTTTTTTCTTTTGTGTCGTCTTGAAATATTTTGATTAGGCATAAATACCTTAAACCTAATATATTTGGCGTAATGTATGGGTGAAACTTACTTGAGGCACAGGCTAGTTACCATTTTCTCTCTTTGGTGACTATTTCTCCCCTCCGTGTTCATCTATTACATGCTTCCATGCATGTCTGATACCTTGTCTTCCTCTTTTTTACTGATTGGTGGATTATAGCTGCAAACCCAGTGATTTGCGACATGACCAAGAGAGACCTTTTTTTTTAATTGTTCCCTTGGCCCTTTTATCACATTTTTTCTTAATTTTTTTCTTATTTTTTAAGCTGAGAGATTTCTGCTTTCGATTATGTTTCCTACGACCCTTCTACTTTCTGGTTATGTGATTTTAAGGACTGGTTATATGTTAGTTTCTCTGCATTATAACTTCAGTGTGAATTGATTGTACTGTTTAGTATTTGAAAGGTTGGAAACCCAGATGTCTTATATTTTTCAATGTTTAGTTGTGACATGAAATTTTTATTCCTTACTTGAAAGATTTGTCAATGATAAAATATTTGCTTGTGATTTATAACAGTTGCCTCACTTTAATTAAGCCCTCGCTCTCGCCTAGGCCCCGAGGAGCCCCTTAGCGACTCAACTCTTATTGTTATTGTCATTGATTTCAAGAATTATTAGAAGAATCATCTTTTTCTTCTTTTTTAGAAACCTTGAAGTCAAGGTCTACTTTTTTACCAAGATCCATCAAAACTCATTCCAGATGGAAGCTGAGGACACTATTTATTGATTACTAGTTAATGATTGTTTCAAGAACAATTGTTGTTTTCCTCATTTTTTAGAAACCATGAAGTTAAGGTCTTGAATTTATAGCCCACATCCACGAAAACTCTTTCTAGATGGAATCTTATGACAATATGAATCAAGAGTTGACGAGTGAATGAGAAGTACATAATATAGATCTATTGATGTAGATTTAAATGTTTGATATACATATCCTTCCAGATTTATATACATACTAGCGACACCCGTGACTGAAGTCACTATATACTAAGCTATGAAACTGTGCGTGTCGGAGTGTATGTACAGCTAGAGTGTATATGTATAATGAGTGTGTGTATATATAATGAGTGTGTGAGTTGAGTTTGTGAAATTTAGGGGGAAAAGTGTGTGATGGGTATGTGCAATTTTGGGGGAAAAATATACCCCATAAGTTCAAAAAGCTAGCTATCGTATTATATAGATATACCATATCCATGTTTAGTTTGGTGTAACCATCCATTGGAATGTGTTGTAGACTTTCTGTTATTTGAAATAAGATCAGCTATTCTGCCAAGGACCAGCCAGAGCAGAAGAGACTGCATGTTGAAGAATTTGGCCACCTAGAAAGGACTTGGACACCATCTATCAGATATGTGGGATTGTGCATTAGGGAAGCTTTTCAAGCGTTGGGTTGTGATGTCGACCTAGATGACATGACTGCCTAATTCTATGAGAAATATTAGGGGTTTATTCATACAGTCCTACTTGTTAGGCTTAGTTTCTTCCGTTCCTTTCAACACAGTGTAACCTTATAAACTTGGAATACACTAGTGACTAGTCACTTCAAAAATGGATTGTTTTATTCTCACTAAATTGCCAAGGCTGTTATAGCACTTGGGTAAAAATGCGGAGATAGAATCAGTAACATGGGTAACATGGGATGCATTAGGTTTCAGTCTGATGTTTCTTTGGGGTGGGGTTGTTTTCTTCTCTTTTTTTTCTCTATGCTTAAAACGTATCCTTAGGCAAGTTGCAGTTAAGAGTTTTTATCCGCGTTCTTTTTAGCCTTTTGCTGTTGCAAGGCATTCTAATTTCTCAATTTTATTTTATGTTTCAGATTGTGCATAATTTATTTCGCGCTGTAGACATTGATTCAAGCTTGGCAAGATTTGAGGAAAGGTCGCGGCATGTGCAAATCAATGAAGAGAGCCTTTGTGATTCCTGTCATTCTCGGCTTGGAACAAAACTATTTGCAATGTACCCAGACGATACCATAGTTTGTTACAAGGTTTGTGATTTTACATCTCTTTTAGTGTTGCTCCCTGATTATATTCTGGTAACTTCAGTAGTGTTATAGGTTGCTGCGGAAGTCTGATAATGATTAACCAAAAAAGTAAGTCCAATAGTTATTGCTATATGAATTAAAATGACTACTTAGGCTGCGCAGATGAAATTTGCAATATATTAGGGACATCCTTTTGTTTTCTCCTCAACAAGCAGAACTTTTCTCCCTTTTGTTTTCAACAGATTCTCTTTTATTTGAAAATAATCAACTAAAAAGCTTTGCTACAATATGTGATAAGTCTGTATGTGGTCATTGGTAGATTGAGGAAAAGAAATTGCAGACCAATGAATATATTGTGTTAGAAACCGATCTTACTAGCACACCCATTTCTTGTGCAGTGTTTCCGTCGTCAGGGTGAGTCGACTTCCGTCACTGGTCGTGACTTCAAGCAAGATATAATGTTTAAGCCGGGTTGGTTGGTTACACGGTGACCATGCCTAAGATGATGTATTTCAAAAGTTTGAAAACCAGGCTACAATGGGACATGATGAAGAGCTTGAGCGTGTTCGGGGTCTAAGATGGTTTTATCTCCGCTTCTCTGACATTTTACTGGATATGCAGAATTAGGTTTTTCAACGTTCAACAGGACCTGGGTGGCTTTGTTCCGCCTTCGTGTGGTAGAGAGAGAGAGAGAGAGAGAGAGAGAGAATGTGCCAGGATTGCTCTTTTGTTTTGCTTGATTAGCATGTTGTATAATGTGAAATGGCAGCTGACTGTATTATTTTATGACAGATTAACAGAAAATTTTCACGATTGTTTCCTATGTCAAGTGACAATGTAAAAGAAAAATTCTAATTTTCCTTGTGATTATGAGAGGTGAAAAGGGTAATACTTGTGTTCTTGGAATTCATCTCTCCAGCTTGAAACATGATGTGTTAAGAGGGTGAAAATTGTCAGATGATGTTTCCATCAAAATAATTTGCATCACCCATCTAAGTGCCATGAAAGTTTAGAGGTTTTAGAAAAATAATGAAAAGAGCATATAGTGCCATTGGGTGAAATACATTTTGTGCCTTAATTTACATCCTGAAAGATTAATTACACTTTGTGCCATAATTTTTATAATTTTATCACTTGAGCTACCTTTTGTGGTTTAATTCATTGGCTACTTTTATAAGTATTTATTACTATTCGACTCTGGAATATATGCAAGAAATGTTAGATAGACTAAGGATTAAATATAGAGACTAAGTGATGTGTTGATATGATTGTTTTGACACTTATGTTGGTACAAAACAACACTTAGTTACGATACACGAATTTATATTTTCTCGAATATATATATATTTTTTTTGAACAGATCACCGATTGTTAATGAGTAGAACTTCTGCTTATGTAGAGTGAGTCCAATTAAATTCTTAGTAGAAAATGCGACAAGAAGAGAAAGGAGAAAAAAATTCATGACGAATTCAATGTGAGGTAATTAAAATTTGGTTCGAGCAGTTTAAAAATTATTTTTAATAGGCTCGAATATAATTTTAATCTGCTCAATTTTAATACTTAAAAAAATATATAATTTTTAATCAATTCGAATTTTAATATGTAAAAAATAAATTTTAATTAGTTGAAATCGAATTTTAAATGTAAAAAAATTTATAAAATAGAGGAGGCCTAATTGAATATATGCCTGTCAAGAGAGGGTGCGGATGAATTTCTTTTTAAAATACATCATGGACAATTTAGTACAATTGTATTCTAATTAATAACTTTAATCTGACAGAGTTGTCAGTTAAAATTTAAAAAATAGAAAGAGTGTCCTTAAAAATATGGTATACGAAAAAAAGTGTGGCTGAAAATTTTCTTACTTTTTATTCTTAGCAGATCACCTATGGTAAAATAAAATGGGATCCATTTTATATAAACAAATTTTTACCATATTTATAATTAGGATAATTCGTGCGTGAAGACAAGTGAAAAATGATGGATTTGAGAGAGAATTTAATATAAATGGTTTTAACAGAGATATTGGTAACAATTGAATGAGTTTATTTGAAATCGTCGAATATGCTTATTGAAATCTCTCATGTTTTATATTATAAACTAGTGATAACTTGTGACTAAAAGACACATGCAATGTAAATGATTTTTAAAAGAATATTAATAATTATAAAATAAATATATTTGAAACTATCAAATAAATTTATTAAAACATCGCTTTATATTATAAATAAATAAATGAATGATTTAAAAAAGAATTAGAAAGGCTGTAGATCCCAGCAAGTATCTCTTATCCTATCCTTATGTTCTTTCATACATAGATAGATGGAGAATCTCGCAAACCGCAAACCGTACACCCCCACCCAATCATAAACATCCAACTCAGCCTGCCTTACTCATTTCCACCTTATCCTCTCTCCTCCACACTCCTCCACACTTCTCCTGTTCTCCACCTATCTCTCCTCTCCCAAGTCTAAATCCCATCGCTCCACCCTTTTCCTTCCAGACCCCCCCCCCCCCCTTCTCTCTCCAATACAGGGGAAAAAATGTCACTCACAATACCCACAAACCTTTCCAACTCCATCGTAAAACCCAAGTTGAGTTCTCAGTTCACCACAAAACCAAGGCTTGCAAGCATTGTATGCTCAGCTTCTCCTAACCAGAACACATCAACTTCGGAGCAGTCATCCAATGCATCGCCACTCAAGGCATTCTCAGCTGCTCTAGCACTCTCCTCCATCCTCCTCTCGGCTCCTGTCCTACCGGCGTCGGCCGACATAGCGGGCCTGACGCCGTGCAAGGAGTCCAAGCAGTTCGCTAAGCGAGAGAAACAGCAGATCAAGAAGCTCGAGTCATCACTGAAAAACTATGCTCCTGATAGTGCTCCGGCACTGGCTATCAAAGCCACCGTGGAAAAGACCAAACGCAGGTCCATTCTAATAAATACTTTTCAAATATTTTGTTTAATGTTCAAATCCGAATAACTCAGTTAAGCTGAATTGTAACGAATTACATGTGAATTTCAACTGAATTTGCATTTAATAGTCCCTAGATGTCATCATGTATCAACATCAGAGTGGTGAATTATCATGTACTCAACTATAGATCTAGGAGGAATCAGAAGTGGTCAGCGAGAATCCTCTCCTGTTAAAAAATTAGCAGCAGAGGTACCTGTTGATTAGAACAACGTCGTTTTATATTAACAATAGAGGAGCCAGACCTGAGGAGGGCAACCACCCCTACAAAAGTTTTAGTTTTAGCTATAGATGCAGTCCCCAATGTTTGCTTGTGTATTATTTTAGTTGCGATGTTTTAATTTAGTCTCTGAAGTATCGAATTTGAATTTCAAAACTCGAATTTCTGAAAATATTAGCTCACGTCCTTCTTATGTGACCATACTCTAATGTTGTCGGAAATTTGAACGCATTGGACTCGGGGACCACATCAATTCAAATTCAATATAGTAGAGACCAAACTGATTCAACTGAAACATTAGAGACTCAAATGAACTACAATATATACATCAAATTGCCACCATAGTTGGTCCTAAACTTTGTTAAGCCATTGCCACAGTTTCTTTGAATTTTTCCAAATATCCCTAACTGTGACTACCCAATACTGAATTTGTCACTCTGGTATAGGTTTGATAACTATGGGAAACAAGGTTTGCTATGCGGATCAGACGGTCTCCCTCACTTGATTGTGAGTGGGGATCAAAGACACTGGGGAGAGTTCATCACCCCAGGAATTTTATTCCTCTACATCGCGGGATGGATTGGGTGGGTTGGCAGAAGCTATCTGATTGCCATCAGGGATGAGAAGAAACCAACACAGAAGGAGATCATCATTGATGTGCCATTGGCATCAAGTCTTCTTTTCAGAGGGTTCAGCTGGCCCGTTGCTGCCTACAGAGAGTTTGTGAATGGGGATCTTATTGACCCCTCTGTCTAAATCCATCATAAGGTTTGTGTCTTAATCTAAACATTGCTTTTCCTTTTCTTGTGTTCAAGACTCTTAAGGTTAGTTGATTTGCAATGTTTTTAGTTCTTTTAGGATGCATTCTATGCCTCTACCATCTCCATGGAAAAAATATTCGGTGCATAGAGGTTATATGGCATTCATATTTTGTTGTCAAGCACACATTTGATTTTTTTCAAAAACAAATGTGGCAAAGGATCAAAATTTTGTTTCAAAACATATGAAACGCTTACGTTTTCAAGGAGATTGAAACGAATCAATGATAGAATCGAAAATTCTTATTCTTCGAGGTGTTTTATAATGTTTCAATACATTTGCACAATTATTTCGGGATGTTTCAAGGCATTTCAAGATATTTTGATATATTTTGACTAATGTTTTGGAAAAATAAGTTCTAAATTTTTTATTCTTTTCATTTTGTTTCCGAGACGCATTGAAATGTTTTCGAAACACGTCGAAATGTTTCCGTTCTCTATGTGACCAAAACAATGCACCGAAACAAAATTTTAATTCTTAATCGTGACAATTTTATAAATGGCAACAATTGATTGGGAATGTTCGATATTTTATAAGTGATGTGCACCGAAAATTTTATCATCTCAGTGGGAGTAGAGCTACAATGGGTTGTGTCAATAGTGTGCTCATGGATAGTGTAAGTCATTCTGTATCAAGATTTACTCAAACCAAGCAAACCTATTTATAGTCGTGCATAATCAGCTTTATGTCGTTTGTGATTAAATTTGTGCCAACAAATTTATTGATTTAATATGATGGGTTAATCCATTTAGAACCTGAACTCGTTACAATTAACTCTCAAATTGTGATCTGAATCCATTATGATTAAATCCAAACGTGCTGCGTTTGTGTCGGTTGTGGGGTGTGCAAGTATTTGCTAGATTTAAGTGGGTGTGAGATTCCTCCAATAAGTTTTTAGTCGATGTTGCTTTATTTTTCTCAATCTTTTTCAATGGTATATAGCGACTGATTTGATATTAAGCAAAATTTGAAAAAAAATATATATATATAGGAGAAGATCTGGATCCGTCATGAGTATACTATGCCATTGATTATGTTCATTGCTGTTGGTGCAGAAATGGGATTAAGAGGACTACAGCAAAGGAGACGAAGAGCTTGAATTGGGAGTTGCTTGTGGGAGGATTGGTTGATGGGGAACCTATTTGTACTTACGTTTGTGAACTTTCGCCTAATGTATGTAATAGCTGCTTTTGTTTGGAAATTCAACTGTATTGAAGCCACTTTGCATTGATGTGGTTACTCGGTCACATTCCATTGCATTCAAATACAATTTTGGGTGCACTAGGTTAGGGGTGCAACTTGGATAGGTAATCCCAATCCAATTTGTAAAATTAAATAGAGATATCAATATTCGGATTGGGCTTGAACAAAAAAATTGAAATACAAATTATATTTTATGACATTCAGGTTGAGGTATTGGGTTCGGGAATTGAACCGAAACATCTCTAAATTCAACTCGATGATATGAATAATATTATATATAAATAAAGTAATGTTATTGGAACTTAAAAAATTTGATTTAATGGCGTGGTTTTATTGTAACTGTTGGATTAACACCAAATTTTAATATTTGATGGGTCTCATAGTCAATCTAATGACTATAGTGAATTAGATTAATAAATTAAATTAATAAATTATGTCACAATAACATTGTTCATATAAATATAAGGATTAATTGCACTGGAAGTCTTAAAAGTATAGAGTTGTCTTATTTTGATTTTCAATATTCAATTGCATAATTTTGATTCCTGTAGCGTTGAATATATTTCTATATGGTCCCTCAAGCAAACAATATCTAAATTATTAACAATTTTTTATCATAAATTTGTCATGTGATACCTAAATATAGACAAAAAAAATTTTTTGGATTGCTCTTGACCAAAATTTGCATAACTCATAATCAAAAAACTGTGTAATTTGGGTAACTCTTTGACCAAAATTTGGGTAAAAATTTGGTCTAAGTGTTATACAAATTAATTTTTTTCTCATATTTAGGTATTACGTGACAAATTTATAATAAAAAAATCGTTATCAATCTAGACGTTGTCTGCTTCAGAGACCACATAGAAATATATTCAATATTTTAACAACTAAAATAATGCAATTGAAATATTGACGATCAAAATGAGACAAACTCCATAGAGACTTTTAATACAATTAATTCTAAATATAAATATAAGATGGTAGACCTAGAGATTGAATTGATCAAAATTAAAAACCACCCTCCAAAAGAGGTAGAAAGAGCCATTGGCGGCTGTTATATTGCACCAAATAAATTACAGTAGAGAGCTTCCGGAGAAAGCCTAGGTTACTTTTAGATTCAGCCTATTTGTTTCAAGCTAACATCTTGGTTGCTTTGCTTCCAGCTTCATCTTTAAGTACATGTTGGTCACTTTGCTTTCACCTTTCTCCTTTCCAATTTGGGAGGGAGTATAAAGGACAAGATACTGTGATTGATGAGGTCAACCAACCCCCCCTTCATCTGTGGCATTACTTTTGGATTCTTATTTACTTCAATCTGTGTAATTTTGGGATGTGCTACTATAAGAGTTTTTTAATCAGGTAGATAGGAAAAAATATTCCCAAACTCACACTGTTTTGAAAATATTTCTCAATTCGGGTAATTTTTAAAAACTTCAGTCTAATTAATGTCTTTTGCTTAAAAAAATCAATTGGACTTACGTGTTTGGCTTAAAAACATTACTTTAATTAACACCTTCAATGCAAATCTTGACATTCTAAAACATGTCATACCAACTGATGTCTTTGTAAAAACATCGGTTGGACTCCAGTTTTCAAAACAAACCTAATGAATTTGAACCGATGTTTTACAATGACGCCAACTTTTTTTTACTTAGTCTTTTTCAAGATAGTTTTACAAACATTCACACAAATTTCCACTATCGGCTTTAACGCAACAACATATATTTTCTAATGAGGACCATGTTACCACAAAATAGTGGTTTGTCATGTGCGTACAAACTAGCAAGGAACTTTTTTTCAAAATCATCATCACTTGAATCATTAAAGTCAAAAAGTTCATGATCAGAAGTTAGTAATAGATCCCCCATAATTTCATTAATAGCTTCGTTAGGATCTGAATGCTTTATTTTGCCTATTTAATTGAATGAAATCGATTTAATCATCATTGCATTTGATCATTCTTACGTTCAAACCTTGCTATGATATCATCATAATTGCTTGATTTTCATGTCATGTACATAACGGTTGAACATGCTTTTGACACTCATAATCTAAGCTAACAACAATATACTTTAAGCTCTCAAAGTTTGAAATAAGATTTCCTTCATCTTGGTCCTGGTAGTTGGTAATAGAGTCCTGGTAGTTGGTAATAGAATTGTAAAAGCTAAATATTGGTTGCAAACCCTATAATCACATGACCAACGTGTGTCAAAGGGTTATGAGTGTCGATTAGCTCATTGTGAAAGTTTTGCAATTGTCCATATCATGTTATCCCACTGAAATTTGTACAGTTTCCATAAGATGGTAGAATGACTGACAACAAACTATGATGCTTGTATGCACCTCAACATTGGTGTTGGCGTCGAGATCTGGGGGTCATTTTGCAAATGCAAATTTTGACATTGGTTGCGTGAAGGTGAACCATCGTTGATTCGTCTAGAAGAGCTATTTGATGACATTTTTATGTAGGGTTTACATTATGAATAATGCATATATATACACACACACACACATACAAAAGTAGTGACTATATACAACACTAATAAATCGAGATCTTACTTATATCATTGAAAAAATTGAGATGGATAGTCACTTTTTACAATGACAATCTTAAACTGAGATGAACACTATGTTTTAAATGCAAATACATACAATTCGGTCAATACAATCCATGACTTTCGGGCACTAAATGTGTGAATACAAAATAATTGATACCAATTATTAAACCTATCCATCGATGCATCATCGGTATGTCATTGTACATGTATGCAACGACATAATGCTGAGTGTACCAAACGCTTTAAGTGCAAATACATACAATGAGTGTTCGGTTAGCATAGCTCATGTCTTCCGGACACTTAAGTGTGACAATACAACCTAATTGGTACTAATTATTAAACATATTCACCTATGCATCAACTTTATGTCATTGTACATGGACGTGACAACACAATGCTCAGGGTAACTGATGCTTTAAGTGCAATGAGTGTTCGGTCAACACAACCTAATTGGTATTAATTATTAAACATATCCATTGACGAATCAACTTTATGTTACTGTACATGGACATGACCACACAGTGCTCAGTGTACAGATAATGAGTGTTCAAATACATACAATGAGTGTTCGGTTAGCACAACCCATATCTTCCTTACAATGAATATGACTACACAACCTAATTGGTACTAATTATTGAACCTAGCCACAGATGCATCAGCTTGAGGACACTGTACATGGACGTGACCACACAGTGTACTAGACGCTTTAAGTACAAATATAGACAATGAGTGTTAGGTAACATGTTGTACGACGAGCCCCGATTACTAAAAGTTCTAGCGATGACCTTATTTCTCGCAGTCTATGCTTTATTATATGAGATATCATACTTAAATAGGTCATTTATATGTTGTATGATAAGTACAATTCTCAATTGCAGGGTATCACGAACAAGACCTGTATAATATGAGATATGAACTCCACATCAAGCTGTCTGTGGTCACTGTGGGCAGAAGAAGGTACGAGGTCTCGCGTATTTTGTAATCTGAAAAATTTTATGTTATTTTTTAAAACATGCGCATAGCCACCGCTTGCATTGCCCATACATCTTGCACTTGATAGCCCAAATTGTTGTTTAGTCTCCACCACCTCATAATCCTTATTTAACTTAATTGAATTACCATTTTACTGCTCTTATCAATGCCTTTATAGCCTTGAAAACCACACCGTTTCACAACTCCAACTTTGTTGGATTCCACAATTGCAATTCAACAAACGATGATGGTAAGCTATTAGTTTCATTATGCTTACCCTCATTCAATGTTTGTGAATAACGGGGAGTCAGACTCGTGCATATGAACCTCCTTATCAATCTCATTGGTTTGACCATTTCCATCCTTGTCATCCGAGTTATCAATCAATAATAAGTCCTCATACTATTCTTACTACGACTCATTGGCATAGAATATTCAGCACAGGTGTCAAGGCCAAAATATCCATAGGTATAGCTGTATTGCCAGAACTAATCCATCAACTACATCCCCATTGGGGAAGAACGTTCACTTGTCACCCCGGAATTTGAAAATGTCAAGGTGCATAGTTTTTGTCTGGGCAAATCAGTGTAAGACATGTAAGACATGCTGGTGGTGGTTTGGCACCCCATCCGCCCCACCAATGAATTCGTTGATGTCCTCTGTCTTCATATACAAATCAACATTGTTCAACATCTAGAAGAATGCCCCATTATTTATAGCACCCACAAGTTCTTCGTTAACAAATTTCATTTGAACATATGCAATCATGTTTGGTTCTAGTACATCGGGATATCTACATATAAGTCTCAACTTATACTGAGCCTTGTTCAACCTCGTTACATTGTAAATTTTACATAATAACTCCCAGAGTGTTGTTAAACCATTTAGAACAGTGCAGTCTCGATGAGGAGAATCGTAACAAAACTCCTCTAAGTTGTAGTACATTTTCCAGTCCCAATACAACATTATAGTGACTTGATTTCCCGCCATGTCAAATTATATCGATATCAAAACCTAACTGAAATAACAATGTTAGAGTATGTGTGGCTCATATTTTGCTATGTGCATAATGGCAAGGAGGCAGATGCCGGAGCGTAGCGGAGTGGAGTGAAGTGTAACGTAGCGGAGCGGTACAGGGGTATTTTTGTAAATACGTCCATATTAGGGTTATATAAATACTTAAGATGTAACCCTACTTCAATAAGGAATAGAACAGCCGCTCGCTCTCGTGGATGTAGGCACATTGCCGAACCACGTAAATCTCTGTGTGTTATTTTTCTCCTGCTTTCTTAATTGTTTGATTTCTTACTATTCACCATAATTGCTGCACGATCACAACGATTGGTATCAGAGCAAGACTACGATGTCTGGGATTTCCTCTACAAAATTCGACATCATGAAGTTCGACGGAACTGAGAATTTCGGATTATGGCAGAGGAGGGTGAAGGACCTGTTAGTGCAGCAGGGCATGGTGAAGGCATTATACGGAAAACAACCGGCAGGAATGGACGACATGGATTGGAAAGAATTGGAAGCGAAGGCTGTGGCGACTATTAGGCTTTGTCTGGCTGATGAAGTGATGTATCACGTCATGGATGAGGAATCACCGGCGGAAGTTTGGTTGAAACTGGAAAGTCGGTATATGTCCAAGTCGTTGACGAACAAGCTCTATCTTAAGCAGAAACTATATGGTCTTAAGATGTCAGAGGGC